AATAACTTTAAACATACATTCAGCAGTGCCACCAGCTAGGGGGTGTGTAGTTAAAATCATCGTGCTGTAATAATAAATTTATTTTTACCATTTTTTCAGTTTGGTACAGATAGATGAATCCTCCGAAAGACAGCAACAAATGCAGCACCACTATGCAGACCAGGAATCGGATGAGAGTCTTGCTGTGCTTCGGTGATGGAAGTGGAGCAGGGATGAGGAGATGACTGTTGAGGCGCGGAGGTACCGGTGGTGGAGCCACGCTGGTGTGGTAAGTGTTGATCATGATGGAGAGTAGTGGTGGAGACTACAGGAGCTGCCTGGTGTCCGTCACATCCCCACACACCTCTGAACTGCTGCTCTCTCTGTCAACTGAGTTTTACTCCTCTCTCTTACTTCCTGGAAGCTCTGAAGTCTTCGACATGCAAAATCCACAAGTGACGTGACCTTTGGTTCGTTCATATATGTGTGCGTGTGCGTGTGTGTGAGTGTGTGTGCCTTCCATTCTGACAGGTTCCTCAGGATCTCATGTGACCTTGTTCTACTCAGTATTTCCACGGTAGTGTTACAACACTTCTATTCTTGACAAAAATGAACAAAAATCCCATACAGTGCAGTAAATTGTGTAATAGGAGAAAAGAGGTCACAGAGCATGTATGTATTCTCACTTAGTTTTGATGCTGTGTTTACTTCCTGAGACAGAGGCCTGAAAAACCAAATTGACCTCAGCAGCAACAAATACAGATAACCTACAGAGTCATAGTAGAAGCCGGAAATAACACACTTACATCGATGTGGCCACTAAAGAAGACCACTGTGTAGAACCACGCAGTTTAAATATTTACGGAGTAACATCTCAATATTATTAGTTTGATTATTTAGTTGTTTATTTCACAAGATTTTCACAAGAAACAAGAATGAGTGCAGAACACAGTGGGAAATGCCAGATGAGCCCAGGCCGATAAAAGCTTCCTGAATTCAGAAAGAGCTTTATACAGATACATAGCGAGGTCGTCACACTGCAGAATATGCTGCTTATATAAACTGCTTGGTGGAGTTTTTCATTGAACTCATACACTTAACACACACTGACTTGTTACCCACCATGCAAGAGGAGTAGAAGAAGACCTGGAGAAGATGCACAGAACAGGAAATGAAGAAAGAGGGGCTGTCATGGCAACAACTTCACAGAAGGGCACAAGACCAGAGAGGTGGGAGGGTGTTCGTGGAAGACCTGTGACCTTCTTCTTCAGGCTTTAGAGGAAGACACAGAATGTTTAGGCTACTGTGAAACTTTATTTTCCTGTTTACCAAATTATTCACCGAGCGCTGTGAAAGCATAAAGTATGAGACAGCTCAGCAGATGACACCGTGTCATGTCACCACAGAAACTTTTTCACACTTAAACTTCCTCCCAGAGCCTCCAAACCCAGATGTGCCTCTAAGTCACACGAAGGATTGCAGAGAGATAGATTCTTTAGAATCATACTTCTGATGAAATTATTGCAAAACTAAAATACATGTACCCAGTGATTAAAAAACAGAGAGATACATGGTTTGGTTGAATCTGTGTTAGTGTCATTATTTGTTATTGTTGGGTTATTTACCTGAATTAAAATGCCATATAATTGTTATATTCTTCTCAACCTAAGTTTCTCAAAGTCACATGTCACTTTGTGTTACTTGTTGTTAATGACATGTTTGTATTTTATATTATTTAATGTAGAGGAAGGAACTTTTTTCACAACAAAAAATGTGGGATTGTTTCAGGGGCAAAATCTAAAATTCCT